ACATCCCTGTTAACCAGCTGACGGAGGGGGCAGCCGCTGAAGAGCAGATTAGTGGCCAGCGCCGGAGGTGCTGAGCAACCCCTGTTGCATTCTCCATGGGTGCTGGAGCATCCCCTTGCTATGGGGTGAGACCCTGCCGGGGCAGAGAGCCAGCACACACCAGGCCTAAGCGGGCTGTGAGGGGCACATCTGCCTTTCTCCAGCGCCCTGCCCCATGCGAGGTTGCCCGGTGCCCCGTGAGGAGAGTGATTTCTCTCCAGAATGGGAGCGTGTCCCTAGGGGAGGGCCATTCTCCATGGGTGCTGGAGCATCCCCTTGCTATGGGGTGAGACCCTGCCGGGGCAGAGAGCCAGCACACACCAGGCCTAAGCGGGCTGTGAGGGGCACATCTGCCTTTCTCCAGCGCCCTGCCCCATGCGAGGTTGCCCGGTGCCCCGTGAGGAGAGTGATTTCTCTCCAGAATGGGAGCGTGTCCCTAGGGGAGGGCCCCACTGCGTTTCCCCTGGTGCTGATGCTCGGCGTTCTCTCCAGCTCGCTGTTTGCTAGAAGGAGCCGCCTGCGTGTGAGGAAACCACCAGGCCTTCAGCTTGGTCACCACTGCTCTTCCTGAGGGGCTACCCCTCCCCCCTCCGCTTGCATCTCCGGCATAGCCTTGGGTTTAAGCACCGAGCTTTCCAGGGGCTTGCAGCAGGATGCCGTCCGCTGGCTTTCACCCTTGGTGACCCGCCAGACGGGTCTCAGCCATTGGCCATTTGCCGAGCGGCCCCTTACCTCCTACATGAATGAAGCACCCCAAAACTTGAGTACGGAGGCGAGGTTGCCCAGTGATGCCGCTGCCCTTCCTGTACGTGAGGAGAGGTGCAACGTAAACCTCTCACGTGTGCCCTTGGGGTGCATTTAAAAAAAAAATTATCCGAGGTGGGCAAGGTTGTAAAATGCTAGTTCTAGAGGGCTGTCTCTTCAGAACCCCTGGCTCAAATGTAATTCCAGCTGGACCACTAACCCTACCTCTCCTCCCTAAGGCAGTACAGAAAATGTCAAGGCAATTGGATTTAAGGGTGGTGATTTCAGAGCACTTGGAGTAGTTAGTTGGCCAGTGTAGACGGAAATCAACACTCCACTTTAACTGGAGCTGTAACTCTCCTGTGTTCTCTGGCATGAACCCCAGCCCTTGCGGCGTCTCTAAGGAACTTACAAGTAGCTGGATTGTTATCATTGTGGTTTGCTAAGTTTAACCTCCTCCTCCGCACCCCTGGATGCTGACCTTGCTTTGAATCTTTTCATCGGGCTCTGGGCTATGGCTTTCTACCATCTTTTTGTTTTTGCCTTTGCAGAAATCTCCCTCTTCGCTTCTGGAACGGACCTCGCCAACGGGTAAGCAGGCGTGTGCTCCTCATGACACTGCGCCTGTGGGCAAGGAGCTGTAGGGTGGAACAGGTGTCCTTGGAGAAGGAGGATGGTCCTGTATATAAGAATATAGCAGTAGGGATATATTATTGACCACCTGACTAGGACAGTGACACTGACCATGAAATGCTAAGGGAGATTAGAGAGGCTATCAAAATAAAAAACTCAATAATAGCGGGGGTTTTCAACTATGCCCACGTTGACTGGGGTACGTGTCACCTCAGGACGGGATGCAGAGAGAACCTTTCTTGATACCTTAAAATGACTGCTGCTTGGAGCAGCTGGTTCTGGAACCCACAAGGGGAGAGGCTATTCTTGATTTAGTCTCAAGTGGGGCGCAGGATCTGGTCCAACAGGTAAATATAACTGGACCGCTTGGAAATAGTGACCGTAATGTAATAAAATTTAACATCTCTGTGAGGGGGGGAAACACCTCAGCAGCCCAACACTGTGGGATTTAATTTCAGAAAGGAGAACTACACAAAAACAGGGAGGTTAGTTAAACAGAAATTAAAAAGCACAGTGACAAAAGTAAAATCCCTGTAAGCTGCATGGAAACTTTTCAAAGGACACCGTAATAGAGGTCCAACTTAAATGAATACTTCAAATTAAAAAGCACAGTGAGAGAATCGAAAAAGTGCCACCATGTCTTTATAACCAAGTTGTGGTGGCGCATCGGGGTTCCCCTGACTCCTGCACCCCCGTAATGGCACGAACAGACTCCACCAGCCAGTAGAATAGAGGGAGTTTATTGCTTCTCAGGGATACAGCACAGCATTGATGTAATCTGGTTACAGGGCAGGCCTAGGATGCCTCAGCCCCCCTTGATATGGGGGGAGACTGGGCCCCTAAATCCCAGCCGTTGCTTGGGCTGCTTCCTCCATGATACCAGACAGCAACTAAAAACTCCCTTCCAGCCCTGCCCTCCAGCCAGGGGCTGGCCTCCCCTCCTTCCTTTGTTTCTCTCTCTCTGGGAGGCAACTGGTCAGACAGGTTAGGCAATCCTTGCATAATGACTCATCCCCTGTCCTACTGGGCCGTGCTACAGACAGCAGCCTGTGAGGATCACCCACAGCCCAAGCCTAGCAAGCAGCAAGGTACCAACACTACATCACACAAGTAAAAGAAATAGTGACAGATAAAATGACATCTTTTAAAAAGTGGAAGTTAAATCTTGCTGAGAAATTATGTATAAAAATATAATAAGAAGCCAAAAGGGAGTCTGAAGAACAGCTAGCCAAAAACTCAAAAAGCAATAGCAAAATGTTTTTTACGTACATCAGAAGCAGGAGGCCTCCTAAACAACCAGTTGGGCCCTTGGACAATCAAGATGCTAAAGGAGCACTCAAAGATAATAAAGTCATTGCAGGGAAACTAAATGAATTCTTTGCTTCAGTCTTCATGGCTAAGGATGTTAGGGAGATTCCCAAACCTGGGCCATTCTTTTTAGGAGACAAATCTGAGGAATTGTCCCAGATTGAGATGTCATTAGAGGAGGTTTTGGAACAAATTGATAAACTCAACAGTAACTAGTCACTGGGACCAGATAGCATTCACCCAAGAGATCTGAAAGAACTCTAATGTGAAATTGTGGAGCTATTAACTGTGGTTTGTAACCTATCCTTAAAATCAGCTTCTGTACCTAATGACTGGAAGATATCTAATGTGATGCCAATATTTAAAAAGGGCTCTAGAGGAGATCCTGGCAATTGCAGAGCAGTAAGTCTAACGTCAGTACCAGGCAAATTAATGGAAACGGGAGTACAGAATAAAATTGTCAAACAGATAGATGAACATAATTTATTGGGGGAAAGTCAACATGGTTTCTGTAAAGGGAAAACATGTCTTACTAATCTACTAGAGTTCTTTGAGGGGGTCAACAAACCTGTGGACAAGGGAAATGCAGTGGGTATAGTATACTTAGATTTCCAAAAAACCTTTGACAATGTCCCTCACCAAAGGCTCTGAAGTAAGTTGTCATAGGATAAGAGGGAAGGTCCTTTCATGGATTGATAACTGGTTAAAAGACAGGAAACAAAAGGTAGGAATAAATAGTGCATTTTCAGAATGGAGAGAAGAACTAGTGGGGTCTTTCCTTGGACCAATCCTATTCAACTTATTTATAAATGATCTAGAGAAAGGAGTAAATCGTGAGGTGGCAAAATTTGCAAACTGCTCAAGATAATTAAGACCAAAGTGAACTTTGAACATCCTTAAAAAGATCTCACCAAACTAAGTGGTTGGACAACAAAATGGCAAATGAAATGAAATGTTGATAATTGTAACATAATGCACTTTGGAAGAAATAACCCCAACTAGGGATGTGAACAACTAGTCCACTATCCCCAGCTGATCCTGGGCTCCATGGGGCACTACCACTTTGAAATGCCACAGGAGCCTGATGCCAGGCTCCCTACAGCGTTTCAAAGCATCGGCACTGCACAGAGTCCGGGGCCAGCGGGAGAGTCCCCATCTGACCCTGGGCTCCACGCGGCACTTTCGTCTTTGAAGTGTAGCAACATCCCTATGGCTCTTGCTACATTTCAAAAGCAGAGGTGCCCTATCAACTAATCAAATAGTCGATGCAAAATGCACTGACAATTTGATTAGTCAGTTACACAAAATTAAACCTCCCTAATCCCAACTGTACATACAATATGATGGGGACTAATTTAGTGCGACAGACCTAAGCCAGCAGCCTACCACGTTCTGGTGGAAGGCAGGTATACAGGGCACTGGATAAGTGGTTTTCTCTTTCCAGAGTAAAGTACTAGAGCCTGCTGAAATACAGTGGGTCCCCGTTATAAGTCCAGGTTACGTTCCTAAAGAATGCAACTTATAGTGAAATGACTTATAAAGGGGAATTAATACCCATGAGGCAGTGGTTCTCAAACTTCTGGGGCTCTGGAGCCCTTTACATGCGTAAAAATTTATGCGGAGCCCCAGCAGTTCACTGATTGTATGTGTTGTACCTATCAATGTTTCCAGTTTGTCAACCTCGCAGAGCCCCTGGAGATGTGGGATCTGTGGAGCACAGTTTGAGAAACACTGCCATAAGGAATAATGTAATTAGCTTGAGAGACGTTCCCAACATACGGCGGGGAAGAGGGAATCAGCGCACCCACAGGGTTCCCCGGGGTCAAAGGCTCTGCCCTCAGCATCCTTCCCCAGTTACCTCCTTGCTCCCCACCATTACCCTAAACTTGCCTTCCACCCCAAAACACATCAGAGCAGAGCCAGCCCCTGTCTCCAGAGCAGCTGCTGGTCCAGAGACAGTGCCAGTTAGCAGCACTGGGGAGCCGCCTGCAGTCCTGCCGCCAGGTACCTGAAGAGGAGCTAGGAGCATCCTGCCCAGCCGAGCCCCAGCCTGCAGTGAGGGACAGGGTTGCTGCTGTCCCAAAGCCCCCACAAGGCACCTGGACATGGCCGGTCCAGATCACATGACGGGAGGGAACGAGAAATCCAATCTGTCATGTGGAAAAATAACTCCGCCCTTCTCCCCACCCTCCTTTGGCCTCCCAGCGCAACGGACTCGACTGTTCTTCCTCCCGAGCCTCATGTGCACAGGGATAGATCCCGCCCATTGGGCGCTTGCCTCGGTGCTGCACACTGATTGGCCAATAGTGAGGGCTCTGACAGACTTAAAACAAGTGAAAAATGATGTAAGTGTGGATCTGTGTGACGTACAATGATTTTAGTTTCCTTAATTGACGACGTATATGCAAAACAATGAATATTGAGGTGACTTATAACGGGGACCCCCCTGTTAAGTGAAGGCAGGAAAACACCGGGGGCTAATTAACTAGATTGCTCCCTCCAGCAAGTCACTCAACACTTGCAGCCAATTACAGCCAGTGGAGTTGCTTTAAAAGGCCTCCCTTAGGTAAGGAGACAGGGGAGAACAAAGAATGATGGACTGGAAAGGGAGAAACGAGAAGAAGCTGTGTGTGAGTAGAGAGCTCGTTAACAGGTACCAGAGAGAGACATTTTGGAGGGGTTGTTAGGCAGCAGGTTTAAAACAAACAAAAGGAAGTTTTTCTTCATGCGGAGTACAGTCACCCTGTGGAACTCCTTGCCAGAGGATGTTGTCAAGACTAGGACTTTAACAGGGTTCAAAAAAGAGCTGGATAAATTCATGGAGGTTAGTTCCATCAATGGCTATTAGCCAGGATGGGTAGGAATGGTGTCCCTAGCCTCCGTTTGTCTGGAAATGGATGACAGGAGAGGGATCATGTGAGGATTCCCTGTTGTGTTCCCTCCCTCTGGGGCATCTGGTATTGTCAGCTGACAGAATATTGGGCTGGGTGGACCTTTGATCTGACCCAGTATGGCCATTCTTATGGGTAAAATGGATGTGTTTGCCTTGTGCAGTCTGGGTTCTGTCCCTGGCTCTGGTATAGGCTCCTTATGTGATCTTGAGCATGTCCCCTCACTGCTCTGTGCTTCAGGTTCCCCACTGGGAAATTGGAGATATTGGTACAAATCTCTTTGGTTAAAGCACTTTTGTGACCAATTCTTGAGAGGAGTTTTGTTACAGCTGGGGCTGCTGTTATGACTTGGTTTGTCTTTTCTGTTTAGCTTGCAGGTTTTTTTCAGAGCAGGGGCTTTGTCTCTGCATTCTGGGCCTAACACAATGGGGTCTTGATCTCTGCCTCTTGGGGCTACTGTAATGTCGATAATAATAAGCTTCCCCAAGCCCCAAAGGGTTAACAGCTAGTCCCATGTGAGTCTAGTACTATATGGAGCAAGTTTAATTGACACTACTTTTAAACGGGCTGAGAACCTGGATTCCCACTTGTGGATCTTCCTTGTTTAGTTTCTAGAGCTGTTGGGATTCACATTTTCAAGCTTCTGTTTACAGCTGTGAGAGTATGACACTCGCTTTAAAAAAATGGAATGTCTCTCTTAATCCCCTGACTCCAGGAGCTGGGGCTTTAGAAAAAGATCCCAGATAGCAGGAGATCCCA